CTGACGTAAATACTGGAAATCCTGTCAAAATCAAATCTCAATGTTTTACCACCTAGGTCACGGTAGAAGTTTTGCTTTGTGATCTCATACTTTACTCACAGTTAGATTTTGGATGAAGTCGCAAGGTAGCTATTATATTCAACTTTCCATGACAACAGACACATCTTAGTAGAGCAGATAGGCAACAACTGACGAAATTCTACCTCATTAGATGGCGTTGACTTTCATTTTCCTCGGGCGTCAAAATTCTACCTCCATTTTCCGAACATTAATTACTACTAAATCCTCGTAGACAGATATCACGGATAATATTGACTTCTCATATAGATTTATTATTCTGTTGTTATGATTCCCTCCTAAAATTATCGTCTCATGAAAATTTTCAAGCAGCCATTTTCAATCTCCATACGAAAATTCTCATCAAGTTTCACGCGGTGATCTCTACTGGTTGCTTCTAACCATCCATTCACATCACCCCAGCGATCAGTTGTGATTTTCAACGTTTTGTTAAGGGATTCACATGACAACGAAAAATACTCTATGAGGGGAAAATGGAGGCCACTAAGCCAATGAATAACTACTTAAAGTGAGGATACACAGAAACATAGTTTTCAACTCTTCTCGTGACCTCTCAAAAGTCATTTGTCAATCTACAGTGTAATGGTCAGCTTCCGATATATAACCCTCCATACTTTTACTCGATTATCAAGAAGGAGTGCTGGATAGCTAGATCTGTGATAATTTCCAGTGCTGCCCAATATTAAGAGAATTGCAGGAAGCAAAGTCACTAACTGTGATTTGTGAATCTTGAACTATATGAGGTCAAGCCACTTGTGCAGGATTAAATTCCTACATATGAAACTCACTTGAGGAAATAGTATTTCTAACATTTTTTGATGGATGTCCTTTTTGAGTCAAAAACATTTCCCTAGGCTAAGACAAGCAGGTCTCGTCGAAGCATTTCGAGGTTGTTGTTTTTTTTCACTTCGGAAATCATGAAACAAACTAGTTCGTCCAAAACACAGACGTATTTCACACACGGCACTGTATTCATAAGTGATAACATCAGCTAACAAAATCGCATACTTGAAGATTGTATCGACTGTATTGTTTCCAATCACACCATTATATGATTTTATCACCTTTAATATGTACTATTCGCCATCCTTGGCAATGCAAATTTTCTGCGTCTCCATGTGTCTTCTATCTCGATCCGTAATTACTGCGACGCACAACAATTCTTGTGATTTAGAACTGATGAAAGTAGTGTGTAGGCGAATTATACAAATACAACGAGTATGCTGCATTCATCGGAGCTTCAATCGGAGTTCGACAGGTTCCTTGAACTAGTAGTGAAATTTATCGAGTCGCCCACACACCCAAAAATTTTAGTTTCGAATCATCCCGTGCTACTCCAACTTTAATAGCCCCCACGGTAGATGGTACTTCAAGTAACATCACAGAGTCCAACTCTCATCCTGATTCCAATGTCACAGTTATTACTCAGTTCAGGAGATACGAAGGGAATAGCAAACGTATGAGAATTCTATCAATCTTCAACTAATCCTTCACTGAAGCAGATGTAACGAAGGTACTGAAGTTCAGGCACAGATGAAGTAATTCCATTATGGGTAAATTTTGTTTTGATAAAGTCTCACAGTGTTATACAGTAATGTTTACTGATGACAACGTTTCAAACACAATTTATTGCTCATAATCATATCAAGGTGATATGATATGAGCAATAAATGGTGCTCGAAACGTCATCAGTAAACATTACTGTATAACACTGTGAGACTTTATCAAAACAAAATTTACCCATAATGGAATTACACTCTACCACAGTGCACAAGTTTTATTCTTATATCAACAGATGAAGTAAGTTTTACTTCTTGGTATTATTATTTTCGAAAAAATGAACCAAAAATTAAAGACTTTTCACTATTCTCGGAGCGTTTTGTGACTATGTCTGTCCAAAGGAATATTAAACAAGCAAGCAGTGGGACTCAAGAATAGGTGTCTTGAGTTCAGAACACGAGTCCGTTTCGGTTGCTTCAGTTCTCAAAATACTGACAAAATATGATTGGCAGACGCTCAATGAAGACATCTACAGATCATGTTGACAACTAGGAGAATACGGCAACATTGAATGAGCATTCGGGAAGGCGACATGCCTCCACTTCTGCATTTTCGTGTCATGACTCCTGTTTGAGTTCACCGAATGATAGTATCAAGTATAATTCTAGGTTAGCTACAGATAAGTTTAGACGAAAAGTGGGAAAGGAATTTCACGACATGCACACTAAATACAAGGCAAAGATGCGATCCTTTCTAAGACAGCCGGACATCTGAGACTTCCTCGATGATGGTGGGAGATGGTGTGGCCTTGTAATTCAGACAGCCTTGGTAGTTCACGCAAGTAGTTCCCAGCCTCTACTATTGTTCAATGTGATTAGTGGAAAAGAGAGGTGCATGTAAAGCTCCATTCTATAGCGGCCATAAAGGAGACTGTCTCAAAAGCCTAAATCACTTGATGGCAGAAAACTGGAACTCACTTCTGAGTTAACCAGAAATGAAAACAGCTCTAATTTTGGGTTCACCGTCTGACATAAATCACCGGAAAATCTAGACATTATTCGCTGCTGTGATTTCATTTTCACGCAATTCGAGATCTCACCTTGACACACAATTGACTATTATCACTGAGTTCACAACAGCAGATGTCCGATATAAAGCGATTTCTTCCAGTGTAACTTTGAAAGGACAATGTGTGGTCATTTCCTACAAAGCCATATTTATCGATGACGATTATAGAGAAAATGTGGAGAGTAGCAAAGTCATACGACAAAATGAACCCCTGCTGAAACAGCCAATGCTGATGAGACCGATGATGATAAATTGAAACTCGAATCTGGCAGCATTCTGACGGCGAACAAATTTAAGTTGTGTAAGTAATAACGAAGTCAAAGAGAACGACGACAATGCAGAATGTGATAAATACAATGAAGCAAACCATAGTGACCTAGACGATAGAGATAGATGATGTTCACGTTAACGAAGGCGATGGTCAAGAGGAATACGTTAACTACGACAGTGATGATGACGAGGATAGTGAGGAAGAGGAAGCAAACGACAAGACAAGTCAAATTGCTATGGAAACTACAAGTTCTAATCTTAATCCTACTCTTCTAAAACCAGTCTCCCAACATAAGAGTGAACAAATCACTCCAAAAGTCCCTACTAACTTGATAGAAAGAGTGACTGCAGAGAAAGAACCTCAGGGCGACAAGCATAATAAAACTCAGTAAGCATATATGACTACAGCGAACGGTACTCATAACTTGCATAGTTAAAGCGACTTTTCCTCAAAAACAAGTACTAGGCAAGGTGGAAAACTTGAATAAATTGAAAAAACCACTGAAGTCTGTTAAGCTAAGGTTCCAAACAAAGCCATTTGAGGTGAAAACTAGGGACAAACCAGATAGCGATAGATCAACTTCGAATCTGTTTGCTGGTTAGGTCGCCAAATCCAACACTTTTTAGCAACTGAAAGTTCACCTAAAAATGGCAGTCAGCCTGTCTTCCTCAAATTGCTTGACAAATCACCTCTTATCAACAACGCGATTATTTTATTCTCTCCCCTCATGTCGCCATAAGAATGTGTGAAATATTCAGATCTTTGAAGCTAGTTGACTCTGTAGTCTTATTTGTGAATATGAAAGAGATGCTTATGCAGATTAAACACCTAGTTCTCAACAGTCGTGCACTCTAAGTTGACACTAGTAACTAGTGTGATGCGTCTAGTCCACTGACTGGTGTAGACTGAATTCTATCAGTCTTTCTGATGAGTGCCCACTAGCACGAAACCTAGGTCCAAGACTTCCTGCCGATTCACTCCAACCAACTAATAGTCGTGCACCCTGTTTCCTATTCTAGCTGCAGGCTCATCTATTGAATGAAACACGACGTGGGTTTTAGACGCATATTTAGCATCCCATGGCCAAACATCGCGAAATGTTTCAAGACATTTACGAATCCTTATGAGGTTAACAAAATCCCCGCTAATACAAGTTATACAAAGTCAGCATGACATTATTTCACTTAACGACATAATACAGTCATTCATACTTAATCTTCGTCCATCGACGATATAAACACCACAATCAACAACAACATATGTAAAATTAAACGAAATGTAGTCGAGATAGTAGGTGTGTGAGTTACACAACATACAACCACTAACCAAGGAAGTGAGTGAATTTACAAGAACAGACAAAACGAAAACAGCGGTAACTAAACTAACAAGATATATCCTGGAATCCCAGTCATGGTAATCACAAACGAATAAAATCGTGAATGCTGATTCTCCGAAATACAATTGAGAAAGGAAATCCTATAGTTTGGTTTATAAGGGTATGTTCGGTTTTTACGAGTTGATCACGTATTGATATCAGTTAGAGAACCATTGAAAACCAGAAGGTACTGGAAGGCTGCTGTTTCATCCTAATTTCGGAATCATCGGAAGTACGCACCCACTGGGATTCCAACCCAGGACCTTCCGGTTACAAGGCAAGCTCGTTGGGGTTGCGCTATATCACGAATGGGTAGAAGTTAGAATTCATGAGCCATTGGATCGGGTCCCAGTGGCTGAATGGTATACGAGCTTGCCTTGTAACGGGAAGGCCCTGGGTTGGAATCCCAGTGGGTGCATACTTCCGATGATTCCCAAATTAAGATGAAACAGCAGCTGTCCAGTACTCCCTGGTTTTCAATGGTTCTCTAACTGATGTCAATTCGTGATCAACTCGTAAAAAAGAAATCCTAGCTAAATAACAGAACCCCAGACAGAAAACTTACACCCTACACCTGCATCAATCACTTCAAATGCACAAAACGGAACCACATTGGTCATATGTCTGTGACACAATAGTGAAGTGTGAAATTCATCAAGTCAACATGAAACTGTGGTGAATAATAAATACACAAAACAACAAACTCACCTCCATGGACTGATTCCATGTGTTTCTTCAAATCGCCAGCTTGAGTGGATTCCTTCCCACACACGTCACACCGATATCTTTTACCTAATTATGAATACGAAAAATGGGAAGGGTAACATAGTAACATGGAATCTTTTATTTTAATTTTTTTTGAATTAACCGAGGGGAGCATGGGTTTCTCATGATAATCCCTTCAGTAATATCAAATTTGGTAAGACGGCTATAGGAGACATATCCTATTCTACTACACAAGAAATCATTTCCGATAAGCATAGATAAATTTCGCCTCACATGAGACAGTTAAAATTGAAACAAATTGGCCAGAATAAAGTGTTAATGAAATTAGTAATGATTTTGTAATCCTTTCGAAATATCACTCAGTCATCAGAATTCCGGGAGAACACATTACCCGACTTTACTCAATATGGTCATTAGGTGGTAACTGGTGTAACTCACATGTTCTCAGAAATCCTTCGAAGAAGTTAGAAATGACGATGTAATGTCGAACTATACACCACAATTGTCGATTGCTATGTCGTATTCAATTCACAAATGAAAACTGACTACGAATGCCTAACACCACACAACTATAACTCGTCGTGTGATATTAATCAAATTATAACTGTGACGGATTTTTCTTCTATTTATGTCAGGATCTATTCGAAATTTCAAATGCAATTGTTGACATTATCTGTATTAGTGGTGGTAGCATAACTACTCTCTTCTTTACGCTATCCAACTGCTGAACAACATACTTTGATACTTCTTCTTCATAAGCTGTTTACTTCAATAAACAACCTGTTAACACATTTTACTATTACACAATCTTAAACACGAGCTCACCAGCTTCCCCATACTCACAGGTGACATATCAACCTGCATACTGTTGCATTCCTCGAAGTACTAAAACAACACAACATACACACATTACAGAATTATGTAAATCAAAATTTTATCCTGTTATCTCAATTGTCAACCTTATCGAATCAAATTCATTTTACTATCACAATATACAAAATACGGCTCAAATCATACGCAAAGACACCAACCACCTCCAACTGTACCACATTCGAATCGTATAGTCATGAAACACACAGAAATATCCCTATACGGAATCATTGGTGATACAGCAACACTCATCTTCCGACAGACGAGAATTACAGCTTCCTATAGAGGCTGAATAACAAAGACCTTGAGGATCGGAATTTCGACTGAGAGAGAGATGATAGACATTTCGCTTGATATAGATAAATTATGTATTCAGTCTCTACAACATGTTCTCTCGACAACTGTTCCACATAAAAATCGTCCCTACGTGCAATCATTGGATATACAACGACTGGTACCTTTCACAGTTCAGGTCTGTCTGGATCCAACATAGAACTTGGTACCGAAGTGCAGAAGTTCGAGTTTCCACGTTCCAAATAGCACACAAAGGTAGACAATTAGAGGGGCGAAGAGAATCAATAGAGTTTGACAGGTATAAGAGCGAAACAGAGTGGGTAATAGTAATGCAAATCTCCTATCAGCATGTGGAAACTTTTCAATGAAATTACTGGCAATAGTAAGCGATGTAATGTTTTTCCCTCTTATGATATTAACGCATATGTTCCAAAACAATTTGCAAATGCTTTATGTTCTACTCTAACTAACATCTTAAATGCTTCTTTTTCCGAAAAGGTTGTACCTACTCCATGGAAAGACATTAAAATAGTCCCTATCCCTAAACCTTGAAATACCAAGAACGTAAAGTTCAGACCCACTGCCATCACTTCCCCGTTTCTGAAGCTTATGGAAAAACTAGTACTGTTTAAACTCGAACCTTCCCTTAAAAGCTTTGAAGACCCCAAACAATTTGCCTACTGACAGGGTAGGAATACTTCAGACGCTGCAGCCGTCTTACACAACAGTATTGTCTCATCATTAGACAAAGGTGCCAAATACGTCCGCTGCACGTTTCTTGACTTCACTTCTGCTTTCGACTCTGTACCTAGATGTCTCTTGCTAAATAAGCTCTCCATGACACAAACTGAGTCCTGGCTCAATAACCGGTTGCATTCCTACTTTTCAAACAGAATGCAGTATACCGTATACAAAGGCCAATCCTCCTCCGCTGTGCTCACTGAAGCTGGTGTCCCTCAAGGTGCTGTACTCTCCCCACTTCTCTTTTCTTTCTTCCTACATGACCTACCGTCTTCATATGACATTAACTTTGTCAAATATGCTGATGACCTGACGGTATCTTTGCCTGTCAAATGTCAAAGTGACTGCACTAAACTAAAACGGCTTTTTATCAGAAGTCAGCCAATGGTCCAAGGAAAATGGTCTCACCTTAAACCCCTCCAAATACCAAACAGTTAATTTCACCTTTAGGCACGAATCTGACCTAAACAAACTGGTTACCACTCACGAGGTGTGCAACATTGATGGCACTGAAATAGAAACCAAGTCGGAAACTAAATACCTAGGCGTCATTCTATCTTCTGATCTTTTCTGATCGTCTCATATCTTGATGATTTGTAAGAAAACATTCCGTCTTACCTTCTACATCAAGAAGTTAAGGCATTCTGGTATAACCCAACTCTTACTCCTACAACTTGGTAACTCCCGCATTCTGCATATTATTCTCTATTGTTCCCCCTTAGTTTTTCCTGGGTTACTGAAGAAAGGGTAAGGTACGTGTCACTTAACTAGCTTGTTAATATTCTGGTGGACAGGCACATGGACTCATGTGAAAAATGGGCTAAATCCATTTTATCTAACTTACACCACCCTCTTCATTCCCAACTCTCCCCTTGTATCTCTTCAGGGAAAACCAGAAGCCTATGTAGAAAACTATATGCTCGCACTAGAAAGTACAAAAACTCAACCATACCCTACTTAGCTCGCGTTCTGTGCGATAAAGAAAGCATTAGGCATGAAACCTTTAACTTATTAGATAATCAGTAGAACAACTGGATCTCGTATTTCCAACTCATATCATTTATAGGTACAACGTTTTCCTTTCTTTCATTTCCTTTTCTCTCTCTTTTTTTTGTTATGTGCAGCTTTGTTTCTTTCTTCTAATTACGCCAGTAAATATGCTAGAACCTACTTCTCTAGCACCTTCAAACACTCTGTTTAATTTTGGCTTTTCTACCAACATGCCAATATGCTGTTGTCAAAACTAACTAAGATTACCATTAATCTACGTAGAATTTTATTTTCTTTTTAATTTACTAACTTGATGCTATACTGTAGGAAAATACTGAGAACTCCATTCTCTATCGCAAGTACTATTTTGGAATAAAGCTATTATCATCATCATCATCAAACGCGAAATACATCATCAAAACAGCGATACGAAATAAACACAAAGAACAACAAACTCACCTTCATGAACAGACTGAGAGTGAGTCTTCAAATGTCCCGCACAGGAGAAGAGCTTTCCACATTCACCACACTGAAATCGATGACCTAATTATCAAAACAAATCAAACAGAATGAAAACGTGCAGTGCAATCATGTGCCAGTGACTGAATTTCTGAGACGCATTACAAAAACTGACTTCACTTGAAATTAGCCACCTTGACAGTTCGATACAGGTCTTAGAGCCAGCGAATATGTGTCACAGGTAGCATGCCAACCACTATCTTACTTCTTCTGCATAATGTCATCTTCGAGTAACAGGATAAACATAGTAACGGCTGAGGTGAATTAATTTCACCTTGTGTGACCCCAGTGACTCACCACCAAACACAATCAAACAACAACAAATTTAAAACCGATAAACGCCTACTTACTCATTCTGAAATACAGTTCGTGTTATACTCACTCAGTTACCAAATAAATCACCTTCACAGTAGGGACAATCACATTGTGAACAGTAACAAAGACCTAACGCGAAAAGGCACCGAGACTGATATCCTTTCCACTCAACACTGCTCACATTCTTCAAATCATTTCCAAAAACACCGTCTTCCTACCTACCATAAGTGTACCGTGTCGTAATCGTTCAGAGAGATATGGAGAAACACACAAGTGTCACTATGTGTAATCATTTCCTCTTTAAAAGCAACCACAACACTTTTGCTTCAGTATTTCAGCTTTCTCTAGAAGCCGAGTAACAAAGACATTGAGGATCGAAATTCTGGTTGGGGGAGTGTCGACCGACCGACAGTTCGGACGAGTTAGATGAATGATGATGACACTAGTTTGGAAATCTTCTGCATTCAGAATGAATAACAAGATTCGGATTTGCAACACAAATGTGAAGTCACTTCCTTTTAAGTGGGCCAGAACCTTCGCGAACGCGTTACGTGAGATATTTCCAACAAGTTGCAGACTTTTATGAACAGCTGCCACATTCTCTCCATATTGAAGGGTCATACGATCGGTCGGAAAGAACTGACAACAAGAAACTTTGGCAACAAACCAACCAAGAGCCGATAGCTCAATAAATATGTAGGAGAAAAAGGCGATGGACTGGGAATACGCTGAGGAAACCGTTGGGTGACATCAAACGCCAGACTATCGCTCTAGCGGACACCGGGTGGGCAACAACGAGTGGGTCAGCCTAGGGTGACATGGAGAAGATAGCGCAAGGAGGAGATAAGAGATTATGAGCAATTGTGCACCCAGCTGAAGAGGGCAGCCAAATCAATGTCAAATGGATTCGAAGGTAGCAAAATAGGACCTCTGTAGAGTGAGTGGCATAAAATCTTATTTCATTTCCCACCACTAGACTAAATCTTGACTAACGCTACACTAAAACGACGGAATAATTTCACAAATCTACACAAATTAGAGTGAAACAAACACACTCAATTTGCACACCTGTGGAGTCTCCTAGTAGACAGGGGGATTTCACACTTCACTTACACTACTACTAATCAGCTGTTTTGAGAATAGTGACACTTCCAAAAAGTCATCTCAGTTATGCTGTGTGTATGCAGAGCTCAGTGGACGTTGGTATTAAATCAATGTTCCTGATCAGATCACATAAAATTCTACAAGAAGTAAGTTCGATGGAAAATATGCATTTATAGATGGATTTATTATTCTATTTAAGGATGAATGAATTCATAAACTCAGTTAATAAAAGCATCTCAATCCCCATATGGTCTGAACTGAATCATCTGCGTTTACTGCAAACATGACAACACATACAGACCGCTCGAAATTTAGTATGGGAAGATCACTGGAAAGAATGCCGAAGCACATGTCATTACACATTATCAGTAACACTCGTGAATCCTCTCAATACGATTCTGTGAATTTTAATATTCAATCAAATGTGTGCTATTATCGATTAATACTACGTTATGCTTTTTCATCTCTAGATTTAAGTCACTCAGAAACAATTAATAATCATTGGAAAAAGCCTTTCACTGGCGTAACTCAAAATCACCTCAATGAACACTAGTGCAGGTGGGAAAAAACGTTGTCAGCAGAGGAAAGTATGTTACTACTATGTTAAGCTGAATCTCCACACGAATGAGGTTAACAACAATGCACGACTGATTACATCCTGGTACATTTTCCCTCACGCGAACGGCTAGATTCAAGTAGACTCAAACATTGTTGTTCGAAACATGTATTTCTAAATCAGTAACTGAGAGTTCCTGTGAATACGAATATACAACTATAATTTTCCAACAAAAGGTATCATGGATTAAGCGCATAATTAAACATAGAGCTGATTATTGAATGCCAATCAACGGGCAGAAGTCTTATTGGTTAGCTATCTGATTAGCATAAACGAATAAACAATATCTGCATCATCCAAGTTCTGACACACGCACTACTGATGGTCCACTATCTGGTTGGTTACATATAACACTTAGACTAATAGGACACTGACAGTAATTTGCTCCCTATTTATATGTTTATCATAGTTGTTGCTATAACTTTATTCGTCGTGTATAGTTAGTTCTTTATACTCCACATTCTGCATCCAATTCTTCTTCAACGATGATGAATGCCACCAGCTAATAGCAATTAACCACAAAAGTAATCCTATTGCTGGCTGTGACAGTATCATGCACGCCTTATTCATTTCACTCACTTCTTCAACAGATAAACGATGGTATCAGAACTGCATGAAATCACGAGAGTACAAATCTAGTTTCCTATGATGATATTTTCATGTGAAACATTTTTGAAAATGACTACATCTATCACATTTTGACTTCTCACCTAATTGACATGTTTGACAATCTCTTTTATAAGGAGCATATGTTACTGATTCAATATAAACGTAATCAATCTACCCTCATTCAATATACTTATTCACTGGGGTCGGATTTCTACACAAGCGAATCCTAACAAACTTATCCATTTACAAAAAGCTTGATATATATAACTAAGATAAACACTAATTATTAACTACAGTGTAACAGTCAACATTGCACTATGCTGTCTAATTGAGACCGCATATAGTCTACAATCAAACAATTTCTCAATTGGCTACCAAACTATGTGAAATGATGCAGTGATAGTTCAGGCTCATGAGCACATCCCAATTTCACATATTCACTAAGTAGATTATAACCGAATTCCCCAATTAAAACACAACATATATGTGTTACAGCCTGCACACAACTGCATTTTCTGAGACATTTATATAGCACAACATACACACATAACTAACTGTTTTCTATTCCTTTACATTCCAAGTGGAACATACGGCTTCAAGTTAGAGCTGTGAAATTACTGCAGCAGTGGTGTTCATTTTCATGGGGATGAGGTTGCTCGCCACATTTCCAACTTTACCTCTTTACCAGTCTTATCACTGACTTAGCGAGGTAAGGAATGCCTCGTCGGCCGGGGATAAAACCCCAAACCACCTGCTTGGTTCGCGAGCATTACACCGCTGTGCTACCGACGCCCACATCGTTCCGAATCATACCCTAACATGCTGTTCAAATTATTTCCAAAGACGCTGAGTCCCTTCAACTGTACCCCACCACACACACAAACTAATCATCTAGTAATGAAACACACAGAAACGTCTCTACCAGAAACCATTGGTTACAAAACAATAGGCAGGACAATCATGCTTCCGCATTTGAGAATTTCAGCTTTCTCTAGAAGCTGAGTAACAAACACATTGAGGATCGAATTTCTGGTTGGGAGAGTGTCCACCGACAGTTTGGACGAGTTAGATGAAGGATTTCGTCTGTACCACACTGATATTGTAATACTGTGTGACTTCCAGTCCAAGGAACGAAATTGTTAAAAGAATTTCTCGAATCATCGGAAACTGGATAGGAGACTATTGCATCTAAAACAAAAGTCCATGAATGAGCATAGAATATCACTAAACACTATGAGATGTGGAAACAGCGGTTACTATGCAGAGTTTAGGTAATAATATATTACCCGCCTTACTATCGAATACAAGTCCACTCATCCAATTTCAAAGTCTGCCTCAGTTATGCACAAATCCAAATCAAACTTCTACTCATTTAAATCAACATGAATGTCGTGAATTCGTCAGCATGCCCTAATTGTATGGCTATCAGTTGTGAAAATGGTATGTGGAGAGAAAATCACTGAGTCTCATAGTTCATTGTATCTCCAATGAATTGGACTCTGATAGGACAATGCATGAAAACGTGTCAAGTCATGTTATTTACAGAACCATATTAGAAGTTATCACTCTACCTGTTTTGTCATTTGCGAGTGTAGAGGAATTCATGAAAAAGGATTAATGTCTTCCTATTTACACCTTTTTTCACAGACTCATTTACAAACACCCTTTGCAAACACCTATTTTCACACTAACTTGATTGAAACTCTGTGAGACATGGAAATTCGGAAGACGTCGGCTGTTAATAATCCACTATCTAGTTACATATAACACTTAGACTAATGGGACACTGACAGTAATTTACTCCCTATTTACATGTTTATCATAGTTGTTGCTATAATTTTATTCGTCGTGTATAGTTAGCTATTTACACGCACCAACATATTACACACGAGTAAAATGTTATTTACACTCTACATTCTGCACACACTTCGCATTCGATGATGATGATGGTTGTCCCTTGGAAGTAATTGCAAACTAAGGAGTAAGACAAAGCTGCTTATACCATAAATGATATTTCTGATTTTAGTGGACTGGATCAAACGCCACACCATGCAATGTAAGAAAACAGGCATTGGTGGGACCAGCAAAACGTTTAGCATGTGTGGACTTCGTGGTCGATTTATGTTTAGTTTCACAAACACTCTAAAATCTACTAGCTGGCGGAAGGAGTCCAAGTGGACACTTTTACAAGGATAGGAAGCATCGTTTCAACTACAGGTGTATGGAAGATGATGTCAAAGCCAGTCAAGATCACAATGGGAAAATGAGACAGACATTTATCGCTCTTAAATAAGTATGCGGATCTACAACAAGTCGTACAAATACAAACAACCGAATTATTAAGACTAGTCTCAAGTCCGCTAGTGCTTCTACATACAAT